AAGAAGTGATTTACTGTGTGCGAAAAGAGAAAAAAAGAAAACATTGTTAGGTTTCCAATGGACAGAGTTCCTGAAAACTCACTTCTTCTGGTTAAAGGAAAGTAACTATGGAAAAGTCTAACTTGCTGTAACACAATGGGTTATTTATGTTGCCCAGCCAAAAAGACTATCTGGTCACACTCCAAAACCCACTATTTTTTGTCTCAGAAACGCAAGAACACTTGGTGTCCCTGAGCAGCACCCATTCCCTACTGCAGCTTTCCTAAAAAACTATAAAAGTTAGAGAACATACATAAAAGTAGACCTGAGCGGGGCTTTAACCCTGCAAAACAAATTAGTTTAAAGGAGTTTTGCTACAATATATCCAGCTCCAACACAGCCACCCGTCCCATCTTACAGAACCAGAGGCTGAGCAGAAGGAAAGCCTCACTGCCACCTTCAGATAATTTCCTGAACGGTTTCACCTTTCACTGCGTACATCACAAAAGTATAGAACCTCACTCAGGTTCTACCTATTTCTTAAAGAGAAAATTAAACATACGGCAGCCATGCAGCCAAAGGCCGGGGGAGGTCAGCAGTGTGACAGCAGCAGAGCGGCCCATCGCGCCGCTTCGTGCCGCTGCGCGAGAAGGAGGAGGAACCGAGCGCAGCGATGCCGGCAGGGATGGCCGCACATGAACACGGGCGTATTTATACCGAGAGGGGAGGAAAGCCTGCTTTCGGCCCCAGAATTTGGCAGTCTCTAGAAGTTAAATGAATTACTGAAAAGATAAAAATAAAACACACAGCGTCGCGCCGCAGGTCTCCGCTGCCCGCTGGGCCCCGGACGCACCACCTCGCCATCGCGGCGCGCAGCCACCGGCAGCGCCGGGCCGGGTTGCGGCCTGAGCCCCGCGGGGACAAAGCAGCGGGCCAGGAGGCGTGGGCCAGGCCCAGGGCCGCATCCCGCGGGGCCGGGCCGAGAGGAGGAGGAGGAGGACGACGAGGAGGAGGCGCGGCACGCCGCCGTCCGGAAGCGAAAGGCAGAGCCGGGCCCGCGACGAGCAGGGGAGGGGCCGCTCGCGGGGAAGGACCGGGAACGGAGGGAAAGGGCCAAGGGCCGGAGCGCGGCGCCCCGAGGGGCAGCGCTGAGGCGCAGGGGGCTCCGAGCGCCGCGGCCCGGGGGCGGAGCCGTAGGCGGCGGAGGAAGGCAGCGGAGGAAGACCCCGCGCGACGGGCGGCGGTACCTGAGCCGCGGGCGGTCCCCTCGGAGGCGGCGGCCCCCAGCTGCCGTCAGCACAGCGCCCGAGCGGCCCGGCGACAGGCAGAGCGGAAGGGGGGCGGCAAAAGAGCGCTTCGCTCTGGGCCAGCACCTGCCGCCCGCCTCCTCGCCACGCGTATTGGGTGAAGCCGGCTCCACCTTCGGCTCGATTGGGCGAGGCTCCGGTGAACGACGGTGCCTACGGCCCGTGGAGTTACCGGGCAGCGAACAACAAGGGGAGCGCGAGCAGCGATTGGAGGAGAGCTCCGATGGACGGCCCGCCCACCAGCAGGCTGATCAGCCCGTGGCTTTCCCGTCGCTCAGCGGCTTCCTGCCAATAGGAAGCGGCAACGGGAAGACAGTGTCCCACCCTCAGCTGCTATTGGGCGAAAGACGTCTACTGTGGCCGTCCATAGGCGGAGTGGGCTGCCGGTCAGTACGTCGCTGGCCTGCGCTCCGGCGAGGCGAGGGGCGGCGAGTACGTGAGGAGCCGCACAGCAGCGCGCGGGGAGGGGGGGCGCTGCGGTCGCCCTGCGCCAATGGAGGACGGGGAGGGGCCGCCCCCCCGCCCCCTCCCCCCGGCGGGCCGCGCTGTCTCAGGCGCGAACCGGGCCGTGAGGGGTTCTCTGCCCCGAGCGCTGTACCCTTGGGGTGGTCTCACCATGACGTGCAGCTCAGGCCCTTGTGCAGTCTACTTTCAAGCTCCTCACTGGGGTGCCCGTCAGAGGAAGTCGTCAGTGGCAATACCGCTGTAGTAGAGGTTAAAAACAGAACGTTGCATTTCAAGGTAGCCACGTTGCCATAAAAGACTCTGGGCACTCACCTGCGTACACCTGTTGGGCCACAACGGAGGTGCTTGGAAACAGCCCTGGCTATGCTCCACACCTTTCACCTAAGCTGAAGGGCAGAACCCCAGAGGGCTCAAACCTGGGGAAGGCAAAGGAGGCAGTGAAATCAGCTCCTCAGCAGGAGCCCATAACAGGTTTTAGGTTCCCCATCCCACATAAGCTAGACTTTCAGAAAGCATTTAACTGTAACTACTCACACTGTACCTCTTCCCAGTTAGTTTATTCCTTACACCCTTGTGCTTTACCAACACTTCACTTTCCCACACGTCCACCAGTGCCACACAGTGAAGTTTAGCCACTGGAAGGAGCCCATCCAAACCGCTCTTTTGCCCATCTGCTGCAGAGATGCTACAGGTTGAGATGAGTGCCTGCAGCCTGCCCAGCACTGACTGCCTCCCGCAGTCACCGTAGCACAGAACTCTGCCCCAACTGGCAGCAGTTACACCATCACAGACCTCTACCACGATGAAGTATCAGGCATTTTTTAATTCATATGCAGTTAAGTCATGCAGACCACAGACTTCATACACTTACTAGGAAAGGATGGGAATTCACAAAATAAAAGATCATTACGCTGTTCTTTCAACACCGCTTTTTTTGCTTCCTGGTTCTTTATCTGTAAAACAGTTACTTTACCAAATCACATACTAGATTTTCACTCTGTAATATTATATATATATATATATATATATATATATATAATATATATAATATATATAATATATATATTATTACCAATATACACAATATATATATATTACCAATATACACAATACCAGTATACACAAGTCTGTACAGGAAATGAAGCACCATTCTACTAACACTAAAAACAAACAAACAAACCAAACCAAAAAAACCCAAGGCAAACCTCATTTACAGCCACGCACTATCTTATAGCACAGTAATTTTGCTAGTGGAGCTCTGTTTTGAGATCTGCAAGCCGAAGTTACAAAGCATCTAATTTGCAGTAGAATTATCCTAATTGATGTTACATAAACAAAAACTCAGAACAGTACAATTGAAATTTATATGGAAGAACAAACTGTTTTTTAAAATCCAAATTATAAGAAACAATATACTAGGGGAGTCAATTGCAACAGATCCCACTTAAATATACATATTTCCTGAATTGTTCCCACCCACCAATTCTTCTCAACACAACTTAGACTAAAAAGCAGAATAATGTTTTCAGTAGTAACTAAAGACCTGAAACTGAAATGCTTAAGTGTTAACACTAACCTTAAAATAAACTTAAAGGGGGCAACTAAACAACGTTTGAAAACCAAAGCTGTGAAATTATGCAACATCTTAAATGCCTATATTTTTTTCCATTTATTTTAGCTGCATTTGAGTAGGAAAAAAACCCTATCTTTTACATTTGGGTTACAGTAGTGTGGAAATCTAACTAAAAAGTTAACCCCCTGAAAGCTGAAGAGATGCTGAGAATCTTGTTTTTTGTATTTTAATTGAATATACCATATACTTTTCTCCAGTGCTGACTATGAAATATTTTGAGTACAAGAATATCAAAGTAGTTTTTCCATTATTTCTCTATAGTGAAAAATAGTAAGTATTAAAAATTAAAATAGGCTTAGAGTAATGAAAGATGAATACAAAAGTCCTGCACAAGCAATTAAGTCTGGAAACCTGTTTCAGAGAGTTAAAGGAGAACAGCCAACACCTTCATCTGAAAAGATATTTATTTTGAGAACTTCAACTTGCACATTGTACAAAAATTAACAAATTCAGCAAAAAGCCTATAAAACATTTTTCCCCTAACATATTAACATTATAATTTTAAAAGAGTAAGAGTAAAGAAAAACAAAACCAGGCACGTTTGTTCCAGTCTGTCTGCAGTCAAATGTGATTAAAAACATCTCTGTCTTGCTGAGGTATTAAACTGCAAACTTTGATTATGTTAGAAAAAGACAATCCATTCACAAAAGCAAGCCTCATTGGTGTCATATACAATAACCAAAATGTTTCCAAAGTTCCAAAATTATTCTCCATTTCTAGGTAGAAACACAGTGGGAAAAAAATAATATATATATATAAATTCATGTTACCATCACACACCTAGCATTAGGAGGAAACCTGAAAGTTTGCAAATCCATGCTAATCATATACAGCTACAGTGTTATATTTTACTCAAAGAACAAAATCCGGTTGGCAGGTTTAAACAATTCAGTGCTTATGAAAAAAAATAATACATATATACGGTGATTCTGGGCCCAGTATTTCAAAAAAAAGAAAGAAAAAAGGCACTTAAGAATGGCTTTAGTATATTCCATAATGGCATTTCAGGACAGAAGACAGAATCTGGCTGAACAAATAGTTCCCTAATAAGAAGTCCAACTGAGGTAGTACTTCATATTGCTCTAACTACTTGACTATAAGCCAGTAGTTTGTTTGAACATACAAAATTAGCAGGAAATGGCTTTGATAAGTTTTGTCAAATGTATAAAAACAGTTATTGAAAAAATAACAAATACCCACTTGTGTTAGAAAAACAGAAGTCATAAGCCAGGAACCATCTTACACACCAAAATGCTGCCAGGGTGATGCACAAATCTACTTTTATGCCCAAATCCCAAATGTTGAAGATTGTTCTAGCAACCAAGCCATTTTTTTTTTTAATAAAACAAAAATAAAAAGGTGGGGAGAAGGGACAGAAAAAGCAGAAAAACTTTCACAATTGTCAGCAGCCTTACCAGAAGCACTTTGTAAATCCCCATTAAAAAAAAATATATATTATAAACTGTGCTGATGGATGGCAGTTTTGAGGGGCAAATAATTGTACAAAGTTCAGCATTTAGAACAAAAAAACCAAAAACTATGGACATATGGAAGGTTCAGGTTTTTGGTTTTTGTTTGGTTTTTTTTTTTTTTTTTTTTTTTTAAGGAATATGTTGGGTATTTTTTTGTTGTTGTTGTTTTTTAAGGGTCTGGGAGAACACCAACTACTTTTTTTTTGTTTTCTTAAATTAAGCCCATGTAAAATCCATTAATAAGTTTGAATAAAAGAAAATTAGAAGTGCTTTACGGAATCACCGCCCGTTGCCATATCCAGGAAAGAGCTGAGTTAGAATGGTCTGCAGTGTTTCATTCACTTGCATGGTATAATTTTTGCCAAGGTCGTAGCGGCAGGCTGGACAACTGTACACATCAGCTTTGAAGGACCTATCCAAACAATCCTGGTGAAGGATGAATAAAGAAATTGGTTAAGAATAGAAAGACTTGCAGTTCCGCTTATTCTACGCAGCCCCTGTTGGAAATTGAGATTCCTTCTACATCCAAGTCCACCTAGGTACTTGACAAGAGCTGAGAAAGCCCCAAAGTGCTGCCAGGCTTGTCATAGGAAAGAAAGCTTCCTTCATTGCAACCACTATTATAATAAGTCCATGTTCTTCAGAGCACATTTGTCATGGACACAGTGTTTAAGGGCATGGTAGAAATGTTAAAGACTACTGTACCTTCCATAAGAACAGTTCACATCATACCTCTAAGGAGAAACAGACTAAAAACCCATATGCTTTGTAACACTGTCGACTCCAGAGTCACTGAGCAGTATTACTCAATCCACAGATAAGCTGTCATTACCCTCTTTTAAAATAATCTGATAGTAGCAATACAGCAGTGGAGTTTTCCTTAAAGCATCAACTTTTCTGTGCCAAAGAACTATTATCAAATCACAAGTTTTCACATATATACCTGAATCCTGCTAAAAGATTGAGTCAAAACAAAATCTCATCACTAAACGAGTCAGTTCAAGGTTTGCTGGCTCAACTGCTTAACAGGAGAGTTGCACCAACTGCTCACCTTGCACACGTTATGTTGGCATACAGTTGTGACTGGCCGAAACACCACCTCTTGGCAGCAAATACACAAGAAAGCCTCTTCAACTTTATTTAGAAATTTCTGTAAAGAAAACATTTGAACTATTTATTATATTATGAAAGATACAAGCAATTTTTCTACAAAGCTCAACACACACACACAAAAAAAAAATTAGCAAGTTCCTCTCCTTCCTATTGGTCTTAAATACGAGTACGAACCAGTGCTTTAAAGTTATGCTGTGGATGCCCACAATGAAAAAAAATACTAACAATCTGAAGCTACTTCCTTGCACAGCCAAGAAGTTTATATCTAGGGATAAGTTAACCATCACTTTATTTCAGGAATGACAAGCATGATTTACCGGTCCATCTTTAAGAGCATCAAGTACTTCATTCCACAGTTTTTCATTGGCTTCATCATTTCTTATAAGAGATTTCTGCTGAGACGTCAATTTGTATGGCTCAACTTTTGATTTCTTCGGAGTCCCTGAAGGAGAGTTAAGGACCTTTTCCTCCGCTCCTGAAAGAAAACAGAATGACTTTAAACAAAAAACAAAACCAAAATCAAACAAACAAGATTAGTAAAATGCACAAAGACCTACAAGGCTTTCTATATCCACTTGCCTACTTCACAAACCTGCTGATTTTCTTTTCCTCTTTCCTTTCCCTGGAGTATCAAACTCATCATCTCCATTATTTTCTTTATCTTTGTTTGCAACGGCTTCCAAATACCCCTCAGGATACTGTAGGAAAACAAAACCAAAAAGCACCCAATGTAAATATGCCAATTCATAGACTTACTGTCTATTACAGGTTGGAAAGGTAATTCCTGGAGCAACTGGCATAATAATGGAACACTGTTCTTCCAAAGCGCTAGGCTGCAAAAATTCACTAAAAGAAAATTAGTTTTGTCCATTTAATCTCCTGATGTAAGAAGGAAAACAACCCATAAGATTGAAAGCACTTCAATCCCCCTCAGTCTAAAGCGGGCTCTCTTGATTCTTAGAATCTTACACAATGCAGAGCAGGTTATCCTCAATGTATAATAGAAAAAGCCTTGCTATCCATCAAGTTCTCCAAGGGAACCACAGTGATGTTCCAGAAGCACACCTGCATTGTTAGGCCAAGCTTCTTCATCCTGTCCTTTCCTTCTTTGGTCCAAGGAGCAGGTTCTTCATCATCTCTCCTAAGCAAGTAACGCCACACTAGAAATCCAGATTTCCCTGTCTCAGGCCAGTATTTCACAACCTTTAAAAAAAAAAAAAAAAAAAAAGCCACGTTCAAGTCCACCAGACATTATAAAACCTTATTTGCCATAAGCAAATTCTCTTTTCTTAAATCAGTAGATTCAAATCCTACTTACCTTATATATGCCATCATATCTGTTCCCTTCTACAGGAGCATATTTGCTGTGTTTGCCTCCTTTTACATTCCTCACCACTCGGACTGGCTTTCCAGCTCTCCAGTCCTTAGCTTCAGCTCCATTTTTGTCATTGATGGGAGCACTGCAGTTTAGAGCCAAAGCTCTGTAAGAAAAAGTCCATTCAAGTTAGCATATTTACCAGACAGAACTCTTCAGAATCAAAAACGGAAGATAAAGCAAAGCAGAACTTATATGTAACCCAATTAGTACAGAGCTCAACTACAGAGTTCAACTACACTGTTTTACTCAACACTGCACTGACACAGTCAGGTGCTATTACTACAAAGAGTAGCAGTGTACTGTCACTGTGCTGAACCTTAGCTTGGCTTACCAGAAACATGTTTATGCTATTTTACTGCTCTGTTCTTATGTTTGAGCCAATATTGAATGTGAGACGACTATCGTTTTTTATTGTATTTCATTTATAGAATCATAGAATCGCAAGGTTGGAAATGACCTGCAAGATCATCTAGTCCAACTGTACAGTACACTCTAAAAAACATTTCCACTGCACAGCTGATCTGCAGCCTACAAAAGTAGTTTTTGCACTTAGCCAGTTTCTTTTGATTACAAATAGTACAAACAAACACTCAAGTTGACAGATTGCCAGCTTCTAGGTTAGAAATTGAATGTAAATGTTGCCAACCTGTTCATATTGGTGAGTTTTTGATCACAAGACTGTTCTGCTGTACGTTTGTTTCCAGAAAGATCACGACCTCCACTCCCTGTATATGTGAAGGAATTCCCGTGATCCTGAAACGCACATGGATTGTTTCAACATATTCACAAGAGTAATTCAATACAAGAAGGAAAAGTCTTTTAATCAAGTAGCTATAACATTGCATTCTAGAAAAAAAAACAAAAACAAAAAAAAACAAAAAGGAAAGATAATTCCTCCATTTAAGTGTAGTTCTCTCTTGAGAAAAGCAGAAGAGAAATCAGGGTTGCAACTGCTGTCTCATCACACCTGAAAAGTGCAAAGAGGCCTCTGCCAAGAGAGTAGCACACCACTTGCACAGAACCTGTGTGGAAGCGCATGGCGTGTTCTAGATGAAAGATCATTGAACTTGTGCGTTGGTACTTACACTGCTGCATGAATTAGGACTCAAAACAGTAGATGAGATATATTCTGCATTCATAGGTGTTTTGTGAGAGGTTCAAAGGGGCATTCGGGGGGAAGGAGTCAGGGAGTAGTACTACACTGTACTACACTGTATTACTACTAGTACTACACTGATGAAGAATGAGCATTACAGGCTGGGAAAGCCCGATAAGGATTACATTTGGCTAGCTGAACAAACAGATATATTCAGCAGTAGCACTTCTATCCCTGGTTTTGTTCTAGATCTTGCAGCACATACAGAGTCTGATGAGACCCAGAAAATACAGCTAAGAACTCCTGGATTAAAAGCTGACATATAGATGTTAAACTTAATACAGAAGATTTTCCTGGATTGGAGACTTCCTTCACCTATTTTATTCTAAATAAATGTCGTGAGAATGGAGAAACATCTGAGAGAACGTAGGATGTAATTATGACCATAGCTGCAAGTCAGTTTGATTCTCAGACATAAATAATAAAGATTCACTTACTATATCATCTTCATAGCCTCCTGCCAGAACTAAGGAATAAGCACCATCATTACTTCTGCCGTGGATCCCAGCCACATGCGGCCTGTGAACACCAGATTCGCTCACCTGGAAGAGGAAAATTAGATTAAGTTTAAAAAAAGTTTAAAACCAAAAAAACAATCCATAAGTTTGATAGGCAACTGCTATCAACAAACCACAAGCAACATGATCACTTATTTGTCTTGGAACTAAAATAGTAGTATTACTTCACATTTGCTTTGCATATATTCCAGAGAGAAACTGTCTTCACCAACACCCTCCCAAAATGTTCAGATAAAAGAAAGAAAAATGTTTTCAAAAATGAAGCAATGGAGTATTCCAGTGAATTGAGCACAAGGATACTTTTCATTATGTGAATTTAGAAACGTTGATTTTTCCAACCTAGATTGCTTATTGAAAACCCCAGGAATTTTACAGTAACATGCAGTAACAACAGGTACTACAACAACATAAGGGTAATAGTCTTTGAAGACTTGCAATGGCAGCATTCACATCCTACTTGAAAAAGTCTGAGTAGCTCACAGCTTTCTTTCGACCGTTTGTAAGAGGACAATAAAGCTGTTTAATATATCCAGATTTTTGAGAGAGACTTAACGTCAGAAGAAGGGGGAGATACCACACACCTCCAGGGCAAAAAACTGGAAGTACATACATTTGGTCTGGATTTTAAGTCATCAAAAAAGACTCACACCTGAAAGGCCTGGACAATGCAACATTAGCTGTAGAACACTTGATACAAAGCCAGAATTCTTTCCTTTCTGCATTTACATATCCAGGGACATATACTTCTAATATTAACCATTTCAGGTTTTACATGTAAGAGTGAGATCATTCCCACTTTTCTTATAGTGTAAGAGACCAGGATTCTGCTTCATACCTGAACTCTGAACTTCCACATGGTGCCAACTGGAATACCAGGAATTGGTCCATAGTGGTTAGAGGGTACAATGGTACATTCCTTTGTGCGACCAACACATGCCATGCCCTATTTCAAAAGGGTGACCAGTTAGCCAAGAATTACAAGGAAACACACACCAACGCTATTCTTCAAAAATAAAACCTGACCTTGCCCCAGTCTCTCCGCGACGATGAATTAGCAGATGCCATCTTTTGTTTCTTTTTACTTTCTTTTAATTTCTCTCCTGCCAGAACCACCTCACTTGCATCATTTCGACATTCAGGGCAATACCTGAACTCATAAACCAAAGAAAGTTAACAAGCAGCAAAGCTTAAATTTCAAAAGAGAAGAGTCTCAAAAATAGAGTTATAATGTTACAGTTTCCCCATATGAACAGAGACAGGACACTGAAGCAACTCCCCATACACAAATTGGATCTGTGTTAGCTGTGTTAGTGGCCTTGCACCATCTTCTAAACCACTGCACATGTCAAGAAATCATCTGTGTCATAAAAATTATTGCATCCCATTTCAGCATGTTATACATGAAATAAAACCATATATTTTCCCACATGACAGCTGCTCCAAAGTAACACCTCCTATCTTATTTCACGTTGGCCCACAACAGAAGAGGTGGATGTCGGTGGGATGGCAGTAAAGGTGCAATCTTCCCACCAATATCCCGTTACATTTTGTTGCCATGCGACAGATGACAGCAGAGGAGCAGCGTGACAAAATGGTGTCTGACATGGAAGTGCAAATGAAGAAAAGGGTTTGAACTGAATTTCTCTGTGCAGAAAAAACTGTATCCATTGATAATTATCAGTGCCTGCCAAATGAACAAAAATGCACATCTAGTGGTGGTGACTGTGTTGTGAAACAGTTTTTTGTGGCCTAGAACTTGCTCTATCAAGTAGTGTTGCTGTGCTTTTAGTAACTGTTGTAGTTTCCATGGAAATAAATAGGAAGCATTACTTTATGAGTTACTTCCATTTTTCTTTGAGGAAACGTATGTCCCAAAACTAGGGAAAAAAAGTTTGAAAGCCACTGGCTTACTGTCCTAAAAAAAATACTCTCACTGACCTGATTTTCAAGAGAAGCTATGAAGTTTCCTAACAAAAACAAAATAAAAAGCTCAGCACACTCAGAACACCCAAAAAAGTAGCACAACTCTTCACCTCGCACAATCACTCGCCAACTAACAGGAAGCCCTAGTCCTTACTCACTACTCAGTCTAGATGGCAACAATGATACCACACAGCATTATTAGAACTTACCAGTCCTCGTCATCTGGTATACTACTAAGGGGAGGGTTGAGGCAGTAGATGTGGAAAGCCATATCACACTCATCACACATGAGCTGTTTATCAGGATCTTGTTTACCCCCACAGATATGGCAAGCACAGATCCTGCAGGTTTTGTTTGGGTTGTCCTTACAAGCTTTACACACAGGTCCACTTTGTCCTGTTAGCAAAAAGAAACAACACTCCAGGAAGTGCGAAGATACATTACGAATGGTCAGAGGAATCACAGCTGCACGTGTTTTAGAATTCCGATGCTCAGACGTTATTAAGAGAACATCACAAAATAAGATAACAGTATGTGTGAGAAAAATACAATACTCACGTTTCAATGGTCTGGCACTAATTGGACAAACACTGCCCGGTTCTTCAATTTTATAAATGTCATCCACAAATTTAATTCTGCAGTCATTCAAAGAATCACCAGCCTCCCTACAATAAGTTGATAAAAGTCAAAGTTCAGAAAGTATCATACAGTATGAATTCACAGCTCACATACATCGGTAATATAAACTGATCTGACATCAGTCCTGTATCTCAAGAAAACCCATTGTAGCATCAAGTGATCTACAACAGTAGTATGACAGCATCACCATGGAATCCTTCCATGTAATTGAAGTGTGCTCCTTTTACTTCGCTGAAAATTTAGGTACTGGTAGAGTTGAAATTGTCATTGAAATATTTTTTTGTTGATAACAACCAGACTAAAATCCTCTACTCCTTTATAAAATCAAAATAACTACAGTGAGAGGAAGAAGGAATATTCTGGCAACCCTCTGAAAATGTATTTTTATCATGTGAAACATAAATTGAGAGTTCTTCATATGTACGCGTTAGAAAGGAATCGAAGATTATCATCCTCATAAAGTGAAGGCTTATGCTAAATTTTCATATGTAACACAAAACATTACCCTGAAGTTTTTGTTAAACCACTAGGTAATACAGTAAATTCTTCACCTCCTAGCAAATATGGGGCTTTTTCTCCCAGCAGTATGCGAATCCACAGATCAGTATGCCCTGTGATTCCCTGAAGCGCTCAATTCCTCCAGTTTAACTCAATCACCCCAAAAGACAGTTCAGTTTTCCATCTCTCCTCAGCATTTCTGTTGCTGGTTTTGTTTGTTTGTTTCCAGGATTTGTTTGCATTGTTTGTTTGTTTGTTTGTTTTGCAGTCACTCAGACCTCATGAAAGCTTAAGAGCTGGAGAGTTCCATTTATCCCACATTTCTGTTCTGAATTGCTTACCCAAGTAATATCTTCGCATTTATCTCCCTGATCAGTTTTGTTTCCCTTTTCTGCAGGATCTCGGCATCATACCAAAAACCTCTCTCTGTTGGTTCATCAGGATTGTAGTTGACCATCACCACCTGTCCTACTTCTAGCTGATGCCATTTCAAGATAGTCCGTGCACGAGACCGTACATCATTCGAACTCAGTTCCACAACTCCATTCTCTGGATAACTTGAGTCAGAAGGTAGACATGGAAGGTCAGGGAAGAAAAGTAAGATTCATCATCACACTTTATTCACAGTATATTTTACCTAGACGAGTTGATTTAAGAACTGAAGCCACAAACTGGAATACTGGATAGAATAAAAACTCCTCCTACGCAGTCACAGCTAAAAAGAGCAGCCTAACTTAATTAGTATTGCAACCCATCCAAAACTTGGGTAATAGCATTTCATATCTCTAAAAACACGATTCTAGTCCATGTGTTTTGTCTTACGGTTAATGTGGTTAACTCATACAATTACTGTGTTAGCCCAGTTCTGTTTTACCTCAGGGATCTCTACAATCAAATTCCCCACTGACATCACAATCCAAATGAATTTATTAGGCACGAAGTCAACAAAACTCACTCTTCATATTTCACATGATATATTACATCTTCTTCAGGAATGGTTGTCTGCTGATCAGCAACTGCACGACTCTCACTCGCAGCTTTTCTTCTGGTTACATTTACAACCTGGGCTTCAAACCATGCTCCCATATTCATATCACGAGCATCAACCAAGTCATTGATCTATATAAAGCAAAGTATACAGCTCACCAAAGTCATTTTCAAAGTAAGCATTTATTTTCCAATCTACTTGAAAATTTAACCTTCTCTAGCTAACTACTGTCAAGATTTTTAACCAATTAACTTTAAGATCTCCTTTACTTTCCTGTTCCCAACATGCATCCCCCTATGGTCTCCTCTGATTGATCCTGTCAGGCTAAAAATCCGTTATATACCAGCACGTATAAAAAGCCTTGTTATCTAGTACAAACCATTAATTAACCTACAACAGGCTTTCAGAGTCATCTTGCTCATAATCTGACAAAGAGAACACTAGATCTGTAATAAAAAACACTGAAACAGAAGTAAAATGATTCTGAACAGCTGGTTGAGAATTTCCTTTTGTCCATTCAGGGAAGCTTCGGCCTTGACAAATGCAAGCTCTTGTAATGTGTTTCTTTTCTTTTTTTTAAACACATACTGTAATTCTAATTAAAAGGGGAAAATGAAAAATAATTATTTTAACCCAGAACATGTTGCATTTAATTAGTTTGTGGGTTTATTGGAATTTTTTTTTGTTTCGCTGTTGCAAAGTTCAAAAAATATAAACAAAAAAAACCAATTGTATCGTGAAAGATTTTCCCAAGTTCTCAACCACAGAAAAACCCCTTCCCTCCCAAAGCACAGCTCCAAGCAACTCCTGTTCTTCACTGACTCACCTTATAGAGGCCAAATCCTGGGTCAGCCCAGTCAGACTGTGCTGCCGTGCTGGGCTGCCCCTCCAGGTCCATGACACTTTCTCCATTGTGAGAGCTTTTGTCGGATTCACTTTGACCTGAACCACAGCCAGAGTCTGTGTCAGAGAGCTCTGAATCCTTCTCCTTACTCACAGCAGGAAGCACTGCTGGGCTTTGTCTAACCAAGAGCTGAACAATATCATTCAGTCCAACGCTGTAATCAAAAAGGGAGTGACCATCCTCCATCTGCAGGGAAAGCATCAAAATCATCTGGTTATTGAATTCAATGGAGATTTTCCAATTCAAAACCATCCATCGTGCTGCAACTGTCTTCATGCATCAAAACCAACCACATTTCTCAAAGACCACTAACAACTGGGGACCTGGCAGTTCTTCAGTTGCACAATAGTCACACATTGTTATTCTATTTTAAAACATTCCTTTTTCTCCAACAGGCTCCACAGACCAAAAAACTACGTTTCCATACTGCAATGGACTTTTACCCACATTAAACTGCTGTGTTCTATGAGTTCTGGAAAAGTTACTGCTACACTCCTTAGAAATGCAACTCTGAGAAGAACTTAAAAGAACCACAGATTCACTACTTCCTATCAAAACTTAAAGATTATTCCACATTACCTAGGAACTCTGATGCAAGCTCCTTAATTCAAACACATCCCATCATACAAATATTAACACAGAACAGTCCTTACATTCTGCATGCTCCAGATTATTGCTAGAACCTCGCTCTGAAATGCAGCATTAAGTACAGACCAAGGAACGTTCTTTCTTCCAGACTTCCAGCTTTTCCATTGGAAGCACAGTCAAGGATTCACTTCAACTTGGAACTGTCCATCCACTTCTTAGCGTAGCAGGGCATGTCTTAGTGTCACACCCTCCACAATTTTAAGGATTGTTTTGCAAGTATGGCATTGTATGGAGTCAAATAAATATCTCGCTCCTAGAAAAAGAGGGGCACAGAGGGCAGGTAGGACTCTCACTGCCATCAGAACACTGCACTTGAGGCCACGGCACAGTCAGAAGCTGAGACAAAAGCTTCGCTGCATAAAAGGTCTGACTAAAAAATTATACAGGAAATGATCACCCCCTTCAGCCCAAACCACCAGAAGCTGCAATTCAAGAGCTTTGTTCTCTATTAGCGGGAAACAGAGCAAAGCCACAAAAATTCACACTTTACAGGAATCGGTATGATATCTCAATTCTGATTTATGGCACTGAATGGTTACAGGACAATCCCTGGAAATCGGAGCATGCAGGAAATGCTCTGGGCTGGATCTGGTTGAGAGACAAAGACTCACTGCGATACACAAGAATGTACCAAAAGCGCGCCGCTTCTTCTAAAGAGAGACAGCGCGGCGGCAGCACAGCGCTGCGCTCACAGACCATGTGGCAGCAGGTGCAGAGCAGCAGAGAACCGCACCAGGATGCCAAACCACAGCGTGCAAAGCACTCCTGGTGAAGGTGGAAGCAGCTGCGTGTGCACCTCCAGCAACGGGTGCACTTTTTTTAAACTAACGAGCTTTCTCCTGACTTCTTCAAACGTAACCATTTCTAACGATTCCAAAGCCAAAGTGCTGATGGGCACAGCAGAGGAAGATCGAAGGAGGTTGGACCACACAGTGTAAACGGTTCTGTCTGCAACGAACTGACAAAAAGCCCAAACGCGCACGCAGAACGGAGGATGCAGGAGCACACAGCAAACTTAGCGAAGTGGCAGGCCGCGCCTGCTCCAAGCGCTTGGTGTCGCCTCGGCGCGCATCGCCGAGCAACACTGCGGCTGTCAGTGACCCGCAGCCCCACGGGAGCCCCCCTGGCGCGGCCAGTGGTTCCCGCCCCCGCGACCGCGGATATCCTGGGTTCCTCACACTCCAAATGGGACGGAGGGAACGGAGGAGGGGAGGGGCGGCACACAAAGCCCGGGACTGGCCCGGCTCTACCCCCCCAACATTGCAGCGCTCCCGGCGTCGCGCCCGTTCGTACCGCGGGGGCGGAGAACGCTGCGCGGGGCCGCGCGGTGTCACCGTGTCACCGCCCCCAGAGCGGCACAGCCCTACCGCCCCCCGCGAGAGGGCCCCGCGGCCGCCCCGCGCTCCGTACCTGTTTGCCGCGGTAGAAGAGGCGCTGCCGGTGCGGCTCGACGCCGAACACCTCATGGATCCGCAGGCGCAGCCCCTCCACCTTGGTGAGCTTGGAGAGCGAGTCCACGCGGTGGGTCTCCCTCCCGTCCATGGTGCGCACCTGGATCCACATGGCGCCGGCCCTTACGGGAGCAGCGCGGCGTCACAGGACGGCGCCGGAGCCCGGCGCGGCAGCCCCCCGACCACTGAGGCCGCGCTCAGCCCGCCGCCAGCCCGGCCCCGGCCGGCCCGCCCTCCCGCTGCCTCCGCGCCATTGGCCGCCGGCCCGGCCGGTTCCGGCTCGGATTGGCTGCAGGTGCCTTAGGCCCGCCCCCTCCCCCGCCGCGCCTAACGGCCCAGCTCGCACCCGGGCCTCACTACGCCTTGCGGGCGGGCGCCGCGCGCCAATTGTATCTCGCGCCACAATTGAAACACTCTCTCAGCTCTCGCGGAGGCCTCCCCCTAGACATCGCGAGACTATGCAAATTAGAGCGGAGCACTAGTTGGGGCGCGGAGGATTAAGTTCTTAAAGTGGCCGCAGCAGCCCTACTGCCAGGAACGGCGGCGCTCCCCACGGGCAGCAGCGGAAACGTTCTTCCCACGACCACCCTCGGGGGGCGCCGCTGCCGTTCCTCTCCCGGAAAAAAAAAATAACGGAGCCCTCAGCGGCCCCCACCGCCTCAACCCGCGGCTGCTGGCAGCTCTGAGGGCCAACAGCGGTCCTCTGCCCGCCCCGCTGCCCGCGCTTCCCCCGCTGCACAGCCCCATGGCGAGGGCAGGGGCCGCAGCCCCAGAGCTCCGCGTTACGCACGGCGTCCGGGAGCAGAGTCGCCCCCCAGCACCCTGCCCCGCGGTGACGGGCGCTGCGAGTTCCCAGCAGCTGTCACCAACACGGAGCCGCTGCTCGCAACGGGCATAGCGCGAAGGTGAATTCCCGCCGCTGCCGCCCCCTCCCCAGTGTGGCCGCAACCCTATTGGCGGGCCTGGGTCAGCGGGACTCACCAGCGTAGCTCCGCGGTGCTGGAGGCCGCTACCGCGCTGCGCCCCGCGGCCGCCGCCCGCTCTCTCCCCGGGCTTTGGAGTTTGGCGCGGAAAAGCCCCGTGCGCGGCGGGCGCCCGCCCATTGGTCGCCGCTGGCGGGAACGAGCGGGAGGGGTGGGGCCGCCATTGCCTCCCGGGAGCGCGGAGCTGCAGGGAGGTCCGGGCGGGAAAGCGGCACTGCCGGGGGGGCGAAGGGCCGGAGAGCGCGGAGTCGGGAGAGCCGCGCAGCAGACAGCCCCGCAGCATCCCAGGGCGCAGGCAGCACTGAGTGTCCCGTAATATAAAACTGGGAGCACGACTGTCCCGCCGACAGGTCCAGAAAGTCAAAGTCTCACCTCTTCATTCCCCTCTAATCACCATAACTCCAGGCCACACCATCACCACCCAGTGCCCACCATGTAGCACAGGTTTCAGGGCAGCTTGAGGGACCATCGTGGTGGGGAGAGGCTTCCAGGGACCTGCAGCTCCAAGCCCCTCAGCTGTGAGCAGCAGAGCCCCCGGGGTGGGCAGCAGTGCTGCAGCATGGGGCCCCTCAGAAATGTGGCCTGGGTACCGAGAGTGGGGCTGCTCTGGGGAGTTATCCTCCAACAAGGAACAAAATAAAAAAGGATAAAGTTTGCTGAGCCTGGGTGTCAGGTGGAGCAAACCATAAGCTGGGGATTACCAAGAGGTTTCTGAGAAACGAGGCGGCTTGGAAAGAAGTAGGAAAGAATGAAAACTGGATAAGGTGGGGAAGAGGTGCTCAGCTTGGAGTGTGGTCGCTGCAGGCGGGTGGCTCCAACAGAAGCAGCTTCAGCAGCTCCGCAATCTGCCTGGGCCTTGCAGAGCCGCTACCTGGTCCTTCCAGACAAGGAGAGCATGAGGTGCTCTGGAGCTCACTGCAAAGCAGAACTTCCCTTGCTATGCCCCCTGCACCTGCAGGCACAGAGCCAATCTCTCATGTGCATGTTAAAAAACACAAAATCTGTGGGATGGAGCACCCAGCACACCCCCGATTTGCAGACTGCTGTAGTGAATGCATACAGCAATAGAGCAGTATGCATCCCTCCCTTATCCCCCTGCTCTCATCCTTAGGATCTGCTGGGGATCCCACAGCTAAGCCACAGATCACAGGTTGAAAGGCATTGGCTTAGATTAGGTTAGTACCAAAGGTTAGGCATGTATCAGTGCATAAAAGCCTTGGATATGACCTACGACCTGCAGCAGTCAGGCTTCATTTCCTCGCAGATCTGAAGGCTTTACCTTACGAGAAAGTCATTTTCCCCCCTAGAGATGAACTGGAGTCTTAACCTTGACCCACTGCAGCAGCAAACTCCACAATCTGAAGGGGTTATTAGATATTTCAGAGCTGGCAGGGAGCAGGAAGAAAGGTTGTGCATTGGGAGAACAGTTTTCACTCTTATAAGGACAGGTTGCGCATCTAAAATATCTCATGTTTGGGCCTTTTGGGTTAAAGTCTCAAGTCGTGTTGCTTAATAGCTTACCTGGATGCATGTGTAGTCACCCAAGTCCCATTTTTAGAAGAGTGGAGAACACACACCTCTCACAACTTCCAGTTTAACAACATACACTTAATACCCCCTTTCAGAGTTTTTTCAGCATTCCTTACACCTCTATAAACGTGGAAGAAGCAGTTCAAAAAGAACACTTTAAGATCCAGACCTGACCCTTTCCTTGAATACTGTGTCACATTAACTTGATGCACAAGGAATATATATTTGAACAGGCATGCACATAAGGAATACCAGCTGATAAACATGATTTTAAGTGTTGGATAAAGAAGAATTGATAGCTGGTTATACCAGCTCCAAGATTTGCCCTTGTGTGGGCAGGACAATCTACTCATCATAGTTATTATGATCCATAATCTATGCCTTACAGTGCCTTTACAGCACTTTCTGTTCAGTATCTGAAGACATAAGGAATTTGGGGAGAAATAGCAGGGTGTCTCATCCTAGAAAACTACAAGAAACTCAAAAGAGATCTAAACACTCTAAGAGCTTAAAAGCTTCATGGTAACAGCATGTTTCATGGTTTGCAGAACACAGAACTGGCAGTAGGGAGCTGCAGCATGCCTTGGACAAGGAAAGTGCTTTGAAGGTTTAGGAAGAACAGGTTTGGGAGGTAAAAGTTAGGCTAAAGCTTTTGGTACTTCACTAGCAAATTGTTTTCAGAAGGCCATGGCACTCTGATGGCCGTTGCCTTTAGAGATCATCATGCAAAAACCAAGAGCTGGGTAGAATAAGACAAGATCCAACCAGGAGTCTCTTGCCACAGCCCTGCCTCCATCACTCTGCTCTAGATCCAAACAGCCAGAACTGCAGGACTAGCACAAGGATACCCAATGCTTGTTCACACCGTGGTCTTGGACAAGGCTGCTGTGAAGAGCAACAACTGCTGTTGCAGCAGACAGGAAGCTGCAGTATGAAAGGTTAAGTGCTTTGAGTTGTCATTACCAGTTGAAACTATTTTTGCACTGCTACCCAAAGGACCCACTCCCATCAAAGGGAAGTGGTGGAGAATATTCCTGAAGACAGGAATATGAGAGCAGAGGTTCCAGGCAGTGGAGATACATGGGACACACCATCCTGTGGACCTTGCAAGGAAACAAATGGCAAAGACCACAGGCTGACTTGTCCCTTCAGTGGGCTCCAAACAACTCTGTGCTGCAGCTCTGAAAAGAGGGACATCTGAGCTAAACAGAGCAGAGCTTGTGAAGGAGCTTGATGGAAGCCTGAGGGCTTTACTTGACTTAAGCAAGGAACAGAAATCAGAGCAACACATGCCTCACCCATGAATCATCTCTTCTCATGCCTGAGTCTATCATGGGGAAGGTGACCACAGCATCTTGGCATATTACTT